GTAGGTGTTATCTTTCTTCTGAATCTGGTTTCTCCAGTCCAGTTGTCACCTTCTAGTCTTCGTTGTAGTTCTTGCTTGGAAAGTTGTGTTGGGTTCTCTTGTAGTTGTTCTTGCTCTTGCCCTTGTCTGTTGATGATGGTTAGTCGCCAATCATCTAGTTCTCCTTCAGGTATTGGGCAACCGCTGTTGTGTGGTGTGAATAATGCTTTGCGTGGTCGTTTGTGTACTCTGACGGCGTAGTCACCATCAAGTTTCCAGTAGTCAGTGTTTCCACCAAGGATCTGTCGTAGTCCTTGGTCTGTGTGGGTGAGTGGTGCAATTTGTTCTTGTTGTTGTACTGTTTTCTCCGTAGGTTGAATCACAGCAATGGATTTTCCATTGTCTGTAGTCATTGGGTAGATGTCGAATCCTGTAGGGATGTCGATCTTCTCTGCTCGTAGGTAGAAAAGTCCTGAGTGTCTTATAAGGTGTGCTTGTTGTTGTCCATGTGTGATGGTGCAGTGTCGTGGAGTGAAGTCAAGTCCATATCCTCTATCAAGTAGTCTTGATGCACTGAGGATTGGATACTTCACATCACAAACGTAGTAGGGTATCATGATCCTGAAGTTGTCCTGCTTGTAGGGAACGTACTTGATGCCGTAGACAGGAATCTTCTTGTTTGTAACCGTGTAGAGTTGTGGAACCGATTCTCCACAAGGTCGTAGCGGTAGGTCTGGTGCGTAGTCCTTCGGGCAAACATGTGTAGATGCTCCTGAGTCGATCAACAGGTGGTGGTATGACTTGAAGTTGGAGTACATGATGTAGTGTGTGATAGTGTCCTCAATCTTCTTGTTCCTTTGTTGTTGTCTTGCTGCTGCTATGTCAAAGTGTGGCTGTGTGTTGTCTTCTTGTAGGAATTGTTGAAAGCTCTTGCTGTGGTCGTTCCATGATGTTGTGTGTGTTGTTCTCTTGCCAAGTAGTGATTTGGATTTGTGCTTGTGTAGTCGTGAGTTTGCTTGTCTGATGTGTCCAATGGTAAGGTGTGACTCGTTGATGCCTCCAATGTAGTTTGCTGTGTCCTCATAGCTGTTGTCATTCCAATCCCAGCTGTTGTCATAGTCGTAGTCGTTCCAGTTCTCCTCCATGTAGTTCACCTCGTGTTGTCCTTCTTCTCCTTCGTAGTACCAGTCCCAAGTGTCGTTCACATCCTGAGGTAGTTCTTCATTGTTGTCATGATCTGCTTGTTCTTGTTCTAGTGGATGTAGTTCTTCTCCTTCTCCTATGTGCCACACTGGCACTCTGCAGTCTTGTGCCCAGTGGCCAGGCTTGCCACATCGATGGCATGTTGTGTAGTTGTTGTTTCCTTTTCCTTTTGATTTGCTGTAGTTTCCTTGGCCTTTGTAGCCTTTGCTTGATCCATATCCTTTGGGTCCTGAGTAGCCTTTTCCTTTGCTCTTGTTGTGCCCTCCTTTGTTGTAGTTTCCTTTGCTGCCTTTGTCGAATCCTTTGTAGTGGCCTTTGCTTCTGTACTTGCCTTTTCCTTTGTTTCCTTTGTAGGACCCTTTGTAGTGGCCTTTGCTTTTGCCTTTGTAGTTTCTTCCTTTCCTCCAAATGTTGTCCACGTCCATGGGTGCTGTTCCAACATTGTAGTTTGTGCCAACTGCTGAGCTCGCTCTTGAGAATGCAGATATGGTCTTGTAGTAGTCCAGGATGACAACTCTAATCTCGTTGTAGTTCGTGATCTGTCCAGCACGTAGTTGGAGATGTTGTTGAAGTGCTCCTTTGGTCTTGTTGAGTAGTATTGCAATCTTCACTCCATCTGGTAGTGCTGTGCCGTTGTCTTTCTCGTAGCGGTTGATGTCATACTCCCACTGTAGGAATTGTTCTTCAAATTGTGCTTCATTGAATGTAGGTTCCAGTAGTTTGGTGAGGTAGCCAACACTGCGTGTTCCTGCTGGTAGGCTGAACCTGTTGTGCAAAAGCCGTAGTGTTTCACATCCATTGGCATTGTAGCGGTTTTGTCTGACCACTGTAGCTGCTGCACCTTGGCAGATGTTGATGAGGATGTAGTGTAGGTCTCGTGAGAGGTCTACTGCTTTTGCTGCCTGTGTAGGGTCGCGTATGTGGGCTCTGATGTCTGCATCTTCAATTTGTCTTGTACTGCTTGTGCTAGTTGTAGTACCATGTCGAAGTCTCGGTCGATGAGTCCGAGGTATGCTTGTAGTTTGAACAGCCACTCTTCGTACTGTGAGTAGTCACCAGTGAAGAACGGTGGTGGCAGTTTGTATTTGTGTAGCCTTTGGACGTCTTCCTGCTCCTGTGCTGTTCCCGTAGTTGTGGCTCCTATTGTCTCCTCTGCTGTGGGCCCGTTGTCTGCTCCTGTAGTTGGCTGTGCTGATGCTGCTGCTGGTTCTCCTGACATGTCGTAGTAGTTGGGCATGTGGTTGCCTGTGCAGTTGTAGTACTTACTGCTGTTACTGGAGCTCCCCTATGTTTAGGATCCCAGCCCCGCTACCACGTTAAAATACGTCGATACTTTACTACAAGTGCAGGTGTTGTTTATGTTGTCACAAACACAGATGTAGTTAGCCAGCATGCACTCTTTTCCTGGTAGACTCAAGGCCTGCGGTCGGGTAGTGTACATCATGCATGCACAAGGGACAAGTAGTGCGGCATGATATTTGACAGCTCTCTCTGGGTCTGTGATACGTCTGTGTTTGTTGGTTTCTTTGGAAGATAGTAGCAACTGGGGGTCTGTGATCTGGGTGGCTTGTCTTCTTTTTCTGAGAGGGGGGGGGGGAACGCGCTTTTGGTCAGCATTTTTCAAAGGGGCAGCAAGGGAAACCACCCCCTTGAGGGTTCGACCTTAAAAAAGACACGCCCATACCGTGCCTTTGGTGAAGTCGAATGGATGAGTCAACCGGATCGCTGCACCCATGGGTGTCGTCCCCAACCCCACGGGAATACACCGCTTGACCCTGCCCCAAATCGGTACATGGTCTCACCGATCTACATCATTTGACCCGCGCCCAAGTCGAGGTCGCTTTCACACGAAGAAGCTAGACTCCGTACGAAGACAGCACCTAAACCTGGTCCAAGTTCCTTCTTCACCCACGGCCACAGAAGGTTCCTATTCAGGGATCCATGGCCCACATGAGCTTCCTCAAAACACTTAAAACAAACCAAGAGTTCATCATTGTCCAAAAAAAAAGTTGCCATTTGAAACTGGAGCTGCACTACTTGCTTACCCTTGGTTCTGGGAATGAGAAGTCTTGCCCCAAATAATCCAAACATTCCCGGAGAATACCCGGGTTTTGGATGCCCGGCTCAAAAAATCGTGGCGCTAAGAGGTGGGTTCCTGAAAGATGTGACGGAATGGGCGATGTTGGGGATACTGCTTGGGCTGATTCCATTTAGGCAGTATTGAAGGCGCACACAGGTTCCCATGTTTCCCCCCAGGTCTTGGTCAGGCCGCAAGGTCACAGATCAAGTAGAGCACCGACATCTGCCCACCTAGCAGCTCTTGGGGCAAAAAAAAATTGGCGGAGAGCGGCCAACTGGCCGGGGATCTGGTTCACGAGACGCCCACTACCATCGTGTTACAGAAAAACTGGTAGCTGAGTCCCACTTTAAAAGCAAAGTTGGATACCCCAACAAGATATGAGCGAACCAAACAGGGGGTTCAGAAAAGGGCGGCAAGCCACCGTTCTTTGGCTCGTAAGGTGTTCGGATTCCTCAAGCAAGCTGTGGCTTAATTGGGTTTCATGGGGCGCCACTCATGGCTTCCGTCACGCTACCCCGAAAGCAACCGAAAAAAGATCCCTGCCCTCGCCCCCCTCCCCTCCACTGTCCCAACAAAAAAAAACACTCAACAAAGCCCACCCCAGCAAGAAGGCATACTTCCCATGGCCCACACCCGGGGTGCACAGCGGAGAAAATGGTCCGACTCTGTTTCATAGTTGGCCAACCCAGACTAGGTCCTCCAGAGAGGTTAGAATAAAAGTATCTTTTTCTGTAGTCCATTTTAGTAGGGGAACCCTCCCCCAAAAAAGGGTAAAAGGGCACTACTGGCAAACCTAGCAGAATACACTACGTCTCAAGGCCGTCTCTGCCGGCACCCTAGCAAAAAGCAAAAGGCCGCCAGCGCCAGGCACCCCATCGACTCGAAAAGCAGTGCCTGCGCCCGAACTGCCATGCGCCTGGCACGATACAAGAAACCCACTTCAAAGGGCGCCTTTTTCGTTTTGCCCCCAACTTCTAGTGGGATTGCGTTGCACTCGGGCCCGGCCCAACTGCCTGACAATGAGAAGATCCCCCTGAAAAAAGAAACGGAGCTGGGGGGCTGGGGCTCCACGCTCAGTGTCAAAGCTTGTTTTTGCCCCCGCAAGGAAAGCCACTTCGAAAATGGTCCAAACGGCCATGTTGGACACCCCCCCCCCACAACAAAAAAAGGAACTAGCAAAGCAACTAGAGGAACCCCCTACATCTTGCACTGCGGGTATGCAGGCCCGGAGCCCCAAAGAGAAGGGGAAACAACTTGTCCTTCGGCCCTTTGCTTTGCGAAACCTCGTTGCCAAGCCATGTTAAACACTTGGGCCCAGGACAGCTGATTGAAAACCCCAAACCGAGAATCGCCAGGAAGGTGCTCGGAACCCTGACAAACAATTTCAGGCAGGTTGTAAGAAGCCTCGGGGTTGCGTGGGCCGCCGGGGCAGGTGTTTCCGCAAAAAGGACCTGCACTGCAAGACCTGCGGCGATTTCAGAACCAAACTGGGAATGCCCAAGGTAGAATCGACCTTCCCCCAATCTGCACAAACTCCAAAACCTGAAATACGAGATGGATCCCCAAGCAAGGGGATCAAAGGCGGAATCGCTTCACGGCTGTTGTCCACAAGTAAACATAACACCTTCGTGAGCCTTGACAAGTAAAAAAGATGCCAGGATGAGGTGTCGCAGCCAGGAATGCCGCAGGCTGCGCCGCGCTTCCGTTTTCTGTTCCCATGCACTGTGTGGAGTAGTACTTAGTACGGTATCCACCACGTCCCTCCCGAGAAGATGAGCGGGTAGAAAAGGGTCAGCACAAACATCAAGCTCGTGCGCACAAGGATGAAGCAGCACGCCCCTATCGACGGCCTGCCTTTGCAGCAAGTAAGTAGCGCCTCACCTAAGGTGCAGGCGACTATGACCAGCGCCCATGGGAGAACCAGGTAACTGCCCTCCATGTTGCGGCCCAGGCCCACCAAGCTGATGCCCAGAAGAGAGGCAACAGCCAGGAGCTCCTTGGCGCGCTCCACATTGGTCGCATCCGCCAGCGAGCACGTGAAGGGCTCCAGGATCTCGGTCCGCTGCAGCTCCCGCACCCCGTAGGCAAATGCCAAGTTGTCCAGCTCCAGGATGAACAAGCACGCCACCGTGTTGAGGAGAATCGAGACGCCGTCCGCGGAGTCGAAAAGGATGAACAGAGGCACGCACACGAGCACGCTCGCCAAAGTGAATACCCTGGCCGTCTGGAGCAGCAGCAAAGCCCGGCGCTTGAGCCTCCACAGCCCGTCTCTCCTATCCTCCGGGGGTTGCACGCGGTGGAGGTAGAGCAGTGTCTTGAAGAGTGCAAGCGATTCCTCCATGATGCAGAGTGCCGAAGCGGCCGCCACCAGTGCGTACATCACGCCCTCACGCAAGCCTATCGCCTTGATATTCATCTCGGCCAGCTGAGGCATGAAACCGCGGGGGCTGGTACAATCCGCACACAAGGCCTCCACATCGGCCATGGTCAGTATTATATAAATCGACTGCGGGTTGCCTAGCGAATCCGGTTCCTCCACCGCAAGCTGCAAATCCGCCGCACGCGCGCTGCTCAACACGGTCCCATTCGCATGGCAGAATTGGTTCGCCAGGTCCTTCTTGTAAGCGTCGCGAAAGCCGCATCCAAGGCACATGCCTCCGGACGAGGTCCTGGGATGCCGCGAGACCGTGCACCACATCGCTCTCCCGCAGTCCTCCGAGGTGGCGCAGGCCCCGTGGGCATTGCCCATGGTGCTGTACAGGCACCACGCGACCGTCAGCTGCAGGAAGACGATGCCCAGCGCGGAGCTCAGGTACCCCGTGCCTTGCCACGCGCCATGCGCGCCATGCGCGCTGCCAGTCGGAGACTTCCCGAGGCACAGCTTGGCCGCGGTGAAGTGCATGTCCTCCGGCGGCTCCATCAAGACCTGACCATCACTCACCACCATGCGAGGCCGCCGCGGGCGGGAGATCATGGCCTTGGGTTTTAGGAGGAAAAAAAAAGCCACAGGTTGCCTCACCCTCACCCTTAATGGGGGGGGAGTCGCTTCCAGGGAACCCGTAGTTTCGTTTGTAGCTCGCCCAGGCGCAGTGCAACTGGTGACCTGTGGAAAGAAACGTGTTGGTTCTTCTTCCGCCTCTGGCCACTTGTGGCGGTGTTATCTTATTCCATGCCCTCCAGCCATCTTCAGAGCCCAAAGTGGCTCTCTGTCCAGTTACGTCATGCGTTCATAGCGCTGCCACGAAGCCATGTCCACTAGGAGGCTACGCCATACATTTGTTCAACACACTCCTGCAGGTTAACGCACGATTTTGTTCGAGGCTGTGTAACTAGTCAAGGCCCAAGCAAAAGCGACAACTCTCTCCCAGCGGAGGTGAAAGTCCAAAAGAAAGCCGAGCAACCACGGCAATCTCCATGTAGCAACCCCACCCTATCGGTATGAACCCCAATATTGTCTAACAAAAAGGCTGTGAGATCCGCAAAGTTCCCCAAGGGGCCTGGCCCTCGCCGGACCCCCTGCCTGAGGCGAACAAGCGCCCGGCATGCAAGGAGGGACTAGGCTGTCTCTTGCTCGGTCTTTGTGCCGTGTGCCCGCTGCCTTTGCCACAAAAGACCCGGAAATCAAAACGCTAACCTGGCAGCATGACTTGGAGAAATTGGCTAAACTAGGGAAACTGCTCAAGGTCGAAGATAGGTTTGCTTTGGAGACTGCAAAGCTCTCTGTGCTTGCCTGTGTTGCGTCCGCGAATTTCTAGTCGCCTGTCCGTGCATCCTGCGGACACGGCAAACCGAGGACCGCAAATCCACAGCTGGTCTTCATCAAGTGGGCTCACTTTGTGAGCAAACCCCATCCAACCTGGCGTGTTTGCTACTCAAAGTGCATTTTTCAGCAAGGCTAGAATCATGTTTGGTGAGAACCTGGTTGAACCATCAGCTCGGAGCCGGCGCGCTTGGGAGCTTGCGCCGCCTTCGCATGCCCACTTGCCAGGTGCCCTTTGATTCTCGCCGCACAAAGTCCCAACCTGAACCGGTGCGCACAGCTGTGGCAGCTCTTCAGCCTGGAGCCCCCAGAGTCGAAAGAAGAACGAAGCGGAAAATGCTGCAACGGTGTTTTGATTGAACAAGGTCTCAGTCCCTCCATTTTGCTGGGTAACTAAAGTTTCTCCTTGCTTCTGGGTTTCTGGATCCTCCACTCTGAGCGCGGCCATTTTCCTCACAGCTCTTAACTCAAAACGATATCTTGCGGACGGCCTCGGGGGCCCGCGGGGTCGCCCACCACTGAAGCTGTCTTGGTGGGAAAGCTAAAGGCTTTAGAGGTATAGAATATGAGACAGTGGTAGATACTAGCCCCCACGCCCCAAAAGGGACGGGGTCAACCTTAAGAACAGTATTACTAACAGAAATAACTGCAACAGGGAAACATGTGAATAACAGCAATACTTGTGACGTATCTATGTATATATATATACATACATACATACATAATATATATATATATGTGTGTGTGTGTGTATTGTAGGATGAATAACAGGAGTCATGGTCGTATGCATGATCACCCTGTTCAATCTGCGCTGGGGCTTCGGGGCACCTGTCTTAGGCCTGCGGAACTCCAAACTTCAAGGCGCGGTCAATCCAAAAGTCCAACAGGCGGTGGCCAGGGTACGGGACCTAACTCTCTATCCTATCCTGTCTATCTGTCTATTCTATCCTGTCTATCCTATCTATCTATTGTACTCTATTCTATTTTACTCTATCTATAACTGGGGGTCCAAATCGAAGAAACACCCCATGCGGATAGACGCAAGCTGCGCCCGTTTCATCCTGCGAGACACGGGTCCCGTCTCTCAAAGGCCTAAGGAACCAGGTTGTGAGAAGAAACCCCTGCAAGAGTCCCATGCCCACGACAAAAATGAGGGATTTCCCCCATGAAAGAAAGGGAACTGCCCATGCTGCACGTTAAAAATAGCGAAAAGACCGCCCTAATGAAGGGGGGCCGCCCGCCAGAGACGTCGCCCGAAACCGCCGCAGGCCGAAAGCCGCGGGACCCAAAGCGCCGATGCCCCGAGGTCCGCATCTCTGGGGCCAAGATGCCCGGCCCAAGTGGGCATTGCCCCATCCGGGGGAAGCTCGCAACCCCAAGGCTCATGGGTTGGAGGCCCCTTTTCCCCTTGAAACCCCAAAGAGTAAGTCTCGAAAACACAAAGCCCAAAGCCCCAGGCATCGAAGTGGCCCATGGAAAGACCCCTCCACCTCGATGGTTGGAAAAGGGGTATCCATCTGCAGCGCCCCGTCTTGGCCCTTCCGGAGGGCTATGATACAAAGGATAGACGCCGGGCACAAGGGCGGGTTGTGGTTCTGCGTCCTGCTTCTCCATCTCTCTCTTGGCTCTCAGCACCAAAAAAAAACACACCTGTCGAAAATCGGCCTGGCTGCCACTCAGACAGAGAGAGACCCGCACAAAAAGGATGCAACGCCTCAGCATCTGGGCAACCCCTGCACCGCCACTCCAAAACGCAAATGAATAGCTTGAAAAGCTGAATACTCAAGGTGGACAACCGTCCCTTGGCCAGTTCAGCTCGCGGTTCCTCAGCCGCGCAGCGGTTCCTCACTGTCCTCCTCCTCATCCTCAGTGTCCTCATCCTTCTTCATCATCTTGGCACCTGCATTTGCAGAGCAAGTCCTCATATGAGGCGTGCCCCCTTAAACACGCACTCAATCTGCAGGTTGGCCCAAAAGATAATGATCAAACCGAATGCTTGGGAGCGTCTCAAGCCCTGCAGACTCTGTGTGTGTGGGTGGGGACCCATCCATCGCAGGACCCTAGCGACGAGGGGACAAAGGCCATTCGACTTGAGGACATCGTGGACATGGTGGGAATGTGTGTGTCCAACCATTTGGGACGGTGATCCCCTCTTTCGCCTGAAAAAACCAAAGCACTGGGCATACCCAATGAAGGTATGACGCGTCATCAATGTCTCAAGGACAAGCTGGGGAAAGCTGCAACACAGGGTTGCATTTTCGGGGAGAACATAGCCTGGTGCATTGGCAGGGTGCGACGGGCGTACGCGCCTCTTCTGGCGAAAGCCCTTTTGCTCACGGCCCCTCCACCCAAAGAACTCCTGTGTATACCCCATCCCCTGCAGATTCTGTGGCTCTACAGACCCCATCTGTCAAACATTTTTTCGTCGCGCCAACACGCAAGGAACATGCATCGGGAAGGGCCCATGAGGATGTGCACTGGGACTGAATCCAATCTATGACCCAAACCCAACCTTGTGGCGCCGGCAACCGACCCTACCAAGAAACAACACGGCGTTCCGCTGCAGGCAAACAGGCAAACAAACAAAACGAAAACTACAAACACAAACAGTAGCAAACCAACCTACTTACTTGCTTTCTCAACCCCACCAACATCCCCGAAAGAAAAGTGTAGCCCCCCCCAACAAAAAACAAAACAAAAAAAACTCCCATCCCGCCTGCCGCGCCGCAAACCCCGAGCCCGGCGGCGCCCCCACCCACCGCCATGAGCCAACCCAGGCTGGAGGCGTTCTCGCCTGACGCGGCTGGGCGGCCCACGGCCCGGCGGTTTTGCCCAAGACGGCCGGCGCGGGGGCCGTGGCGTGGATTTGTCTTGGGCCAAGGGCAAGAGGGGGGGAGAACCGCTACTCAAGAAAGCCAATGTGACGGGCATGTGCGCCGTTTCCCTTCAGGTAGTGGTTTTGGGGGGGAGAAGAATTCCGCTTAGGCTTGATCTGGCTCGAGGGAGTCAGGGGTGAACTTCCTTACGTGTATTGGGGAAATGCACGGGCGGCAACTTGCTGCTTCTCAGGAGGACAATCATGGGCTTTTGGGAACCAGCTCGTGGAGCGCCAAAAAAAAAACAAGGGATGGGCCTACGAATAGACCAGATCCTGCTTCACGCCAAGTTGGCATGGATGAACTGCTATGAATACTGTGAAAAACAACCCACCAAAGTCATTCGGCAATGTTTAGGCTATTTCTGCATCTAGGGCAAAACCAGGCTAACAGTAACTTGCAATAAGGGTAACCTCAAAGTGGACGGGGCCTTTAACTTACCAGGATGGCCGTCGAAAATCCGCTTCAGGTGCCAAGTAGCCACGTCGCCAAGTGCCCCCGCTGTCTTTCCCTGCAAGGGTCCAAACTCAAACTTGGCCTATGATCTTGTCCCCAGTTCAATAAATCCATCCTCCTCTTGAGGAAATGGTCTCAGCATAAATCCTTTCTGGGCACATGCTCGCACCTTAGAACAGGTTGGTGAAGAGGTTGCCTGTGCGAGTGGGTAGTTAAGAGAGAAACTAAAAATAAGGCGAGAGAGGGAGAGAGGGAGCGAATGAGCGAATGTTGCCTGTGCGAGTGTGCGCGCTGTGCTTTGGTTGCACAGCGGTTCGGGTCAGGCTGGTTGCCATGCCGTTTTGCCTTGCTGATTTGGCCGGGCTTCGTGTTCTTTTACTGGGGTGCCCAGGAATCCTGAAAGGCATAGCTCCCGCAACCTTACGAAGACTTGCTCCATCGCATGGGACCGCTTCCGCGTGAAGCGCAAGTCCTGGATCAGTCAAAAAAAAAAGGGAGCATCCTCTTGGGCCCATGGAAGTGACAACCTCGAAATACAAAGTAGGTCGGCAGAAAGAAATGGAGTCCAACTTTTTTGCTTGCCACAAAACTTGCTTGTTCAAAGTACGCCAACTGGGAGGTGGGCTACCTTTTGGTGACGGCAGCCCCCAACCAGGAGGATTGTGGGCGGAAGTCCCTCATTTTCCACCTCGCCACATCAGCACCGGGAGAACACCCGGCCTAGCACGTCCTTCACGTTCGCCGACATGGCCTCCTTCCTTGGCGGGAATGCTCCGCTTTCTGAACGCCCGTTGTTGCCCCCCTTATCCACCAGGACAAATCCTGGGTCACCCGTCAGGCCTCGAAAAGGAATACAGCCTCAGCTAAAGGCTCGGGATTTAGAAGGAAGAAAGCCGGAGATTCTGCAAGTTTGACCTGAAACGTGAACTTGGGAAACTCCGAATCTCCCCAACTAAATTGGACTGCAACCTTGTCCACGGATTCAATGAGCTCACACCCGATCCCTGGTTTGGGAAACCTCAATTTTCAGCAAAAAAATCGGTTCTCCACTCAGGATGTGGGGAAGGTTGATGCGGAAGGGGAATGGGGCGAGGATTCAGATGGGGGGATAAAAAAGGAAGGGGCCGAAAGAAATGTGTGGGGCAAAGACAACTGTTGACGAAAGAAAGGGGGCATGCGAAACACGGAAAGCTTTCTAGCGGGGCATTCTGTTTTTGGGGTGAAAGGCTGCCCCTCTCGAGAAAAGAGCCTGCACTACTTACTGCGGGTTGGTTCGCGGGCTAGATTGATTGGCTCAGAACCTTGCTAGATCTTGTCTTTTTCTGCATGTGTGTCCCACGACAAGAAGCGACACGCAACGGGCTATTCACTCGGAGTAAGCCCCACCAAAGGAAACGCTGGGCGACCACCCCGATTTTTGTGGGAAGCCAAAAAGCGTTCTCTGCCTTCTGCCGAGCAGCGGGCACCCAGCCTCCACCGCCTGCTCGGTGGTGGGCAAATCCGCGGGGCAGCCCGTGACGATGTTGGTGACCTCCCGAACTCGACGCGCGAAGGCCGAAGGCGCTCGAGCAGCCCCCGGCTGAGGCGGCATTTGTTGTTTTGTTTGTGTCGCGTTTCCATTTCTTCCCCGTCTTTGGAAACAAGCTCGAATTGTTTTAGCGACCCAGGATTTTGGTTTGGTCACTATGGGGTGTCCAGTTAAACTTTTGAATGCATACATGTTAATCACATGTTAGGTTGTTTGTTTTAACCTTGCCCCGAAACACACTGTTGCAATTCGTCATGGTGGTGATACTGCGCATTAGGATGCTGACTGGCTCACCCGAGTTTTTGCCCCAGTGTTGGATAACTTTTTCATATTGCTACCTATTGGATAAGGCCAACCACAAATAGTTTGTTTTTACCTTACCTTGACCCCTCTAGTGCTTAAGCAATCTCAAACTCAGCAAATGGGGGGGTCAAGTTCACCCCGGCCAATTGTCAGGAAAACCTGCGTTGCGCCGACCGCCGCTTAATGTCTCTTTCAGAAAAGCAACGCTCGTGTGCTGTGTGTGTGTGTGTGTGTTTGTGCGGTTGGCTTCTAATACATGTTGCAAAATAAAGGGGGACCTTGCGAAAAGAAAAAAATGCAGAGACGAGAAAATCGACTATGTACATGATTTGGCGTGAGGCGAGGAAAAGAAAAAACAACGGCGCAATATGCTTGTCTGGATGTGCGCCTCGGGTGGTTGGTTCTTATTTTGGATGTTGGCCGTGGTCCAAGGTTATGTTTCGCTGTAGCTCACCCCACCCCTTCCAACAAAAGCAAAACGCCAAGAGGTTCCCAACATCCTTCGAAGCCGAAGAGGATCTGGTGTTCATGCGCTGTTCGCTTGTTATCTGCTTGTTGGGTTCAACCGCTTCCCTCAGGCAACCCCCTCACAGGAAATCCACAAACTAGCCGAAGGTCAACAAAAACCAGGGGATGGAGCCAACTTCTTAGAATTGCTTGCGGACCATGAACGGCTTCCATTTGCTAGAGGTATAACAAATAGGAGAGTTATGTAGCTGTCATGACCATGTCCCTTTCAAGCCAACAGGGAACAAAAGAAGATCACCTCAGGCAAATGTAGCTTGGGGTCGGACCCTGCAGTTGGCAGGGTCCAAATAGGGAACACCTCCACATCGAGAGTCAGGAACATACGGGTTGAGAGACTGCCATCGTCGTTGTTGTCCTTTTTGCAACTTGTTGGCTTCGCAAACTGGAAGCCAGTCACCGTGACCCTCCAGAAGCGCCCCCCCCCCCTCTCGCTTGGCCTCCGAGGGCACCCAGGAGCCCATGCTGCCCTTGCTCACGAACTCCGTGGTGCGGCATTTCAGGTTGCTCACCGTGTCCTGCCAAACCAACCAGGCAACCAGCCAGTTGTTGGGATTTTCTCACACCAAGGCTTCAAGGGGGCCTCTGAAAACCAGAAACCAACCTCCAGCCAGCTTCTCTTCTTGATGTCTTCTTTCACGCCCAGGGGGGGCCTCTGAAAACCAACAAAAGAAGAAACATGGTGCGGAAACCAACCAACCAACCTTCAACTTGACCAGAAAGAAAAAGCAAAGACCGGATCGGAGGGAATGGTTGGCGGTTGGTGGGGGAACTTTGGTCCGTGAGAAGTTAAGCAGCTGATGTTTAGACGCTTGGGCGAACGCATGGGGTGGCTCAAGCTGTAAGAACAACACTGGGCCAACCTTGACTGAACATGTTTCCACTCACGACTGTTCTAACTATTCTCCAAAAAAAAAAAAAACTGCCCCCCCCAGGGAGTCACGCCCCAAAAACAACGCGCGAAACCCCGCGCAGACGAAACCTCGACACCGCCCGCCTTCGTGGCCAGCACGGAGGGGCACATGGACACGGCGGTGCCTTCCACCGCTTGCCAGGTGGGCACGATCTTCCCGATGGCCCGCGCGTTCCGGTCCTCGGATCGGAGTTTTCTCGGAGCGCGTCTCGGCGTCGTCGCGTCGCGCGAGGTCGGAAGATTCGGAGGGCGAGTGGCTCGTTTTTTCAACCTGCCTAATCCGTAGAGACCGGTGGTGAGACACCACTGCAGCGTGGGAAGCAAATATCATCTGGCCAAAGGGCGTGTTGGTTTGCCTCTGACCTCCGTTTGCGGTGTTCCCCACCAACTGGAATGCAACCCAACGTTTCGTTGGTACATGAGGCAAGCAACCCGGCGGTGTTCTTTTTGGTTTCTCTTTAAACCAACCTGACAAGACTGCCATGAATAGGAACACACACACACATGCATTTGTTTCTCTTTTTCATCACCTTCAAACCCACCCTTCCCCCCCCTCCAAAGAAGCAAATTCGAGACAAACACATAAGGGAAACCAGAAGAAACACCGCCTCAGCGACCCGTCATCGTTCGTGCGGCCGCAGCGTCTGCCTGCGCCTTGATGTCGCCGGCGCTAGACACCGCGTTCGTCGCCTAAACCAAAATGCGCCCGCGCAACCCAGACACAGTCCCCCAAACATAGGTGTCCTTTTAGGGGAAATAGATGGCCCTGGTAGATGATTAAACCACTAGATAAACCAGGGCCATCTATTTTTTCTGGCAAAGCAACCAGAAAGGACACCTATGCCCCCAAACCTTGCGGGTGACGGAAACCACATGAATTTTTTTGTGAGACTAAGCAATAGGACCACCACCAGAATGGCCAATGAAGGCTTTGATTGTGACTCGGGTGATTTTGGGGACCCAGACTCCCGGTGGATTTTCACGGGGACAAAACGCCACCAATTCCTTAGTTGACTTGAAGGGAAACCCCCTTCCCGCAAATGGACTGATTTCAACGCATTGGGCGAGAAAACCGTGACACCAGCACCCGCAAATAGCCACAGCCCCAGCCTCAGTCTACTGAACCCGGAAATCTTCTACGACGCACCACGCGCCAATGCCCACACCTGCACCAGCCAACAGCGGAGCTAGGAATCGGCTTCAGGACCACCATGGGGAGCAGCCAACAGGTGAAACAGTGCGACTCCAACGTCTAGCACCCAACATGACCACCCTTCCAGCGCGACTGGGAACCAAACGGGGTGCGCTTTTTTAGGGCACCTTTCACCTTTGCTTCAAGCAAAACACAATTTGGGGGGTCCTGGATTTGCTGCTTTGTATCTTACATTGCTTTGGTAGAGCATGCCCCTAGAAACGCTTTCCACACCCAACAAAAAAACAGACCTCCCAACCAAACAAGAAGGGGAAGGGATCCGAAAACAAAAGCCAAGCGCACAGAGCACGGAAAGGCCCCGGCATCGCTGATGATGTCCAGGCGCCGCGGCGCCTGGAAACAGACGAATCTAAACGAGCGCCTTAGGGCCGAAAGCCGCCCCCCCCCTCATCCCTTCGGTTTGATAAACCAAAAGGGTCTCCAGGAAAAACGAGAGAAAAAAAGAAAAAAGGAAAAAAAAAGACAACAAACGATGTTGAGAAGGAAAAACTGTTGTTGGATTGCTTGGTGCGTCATGTTTTCCCTCCAAAAAAATGATCCCCAGAAAGAATGGAGCGAGTTTGACTGGACTCACTGCCACCTGCGAGTCTCAAATAGAAACACCCCTCTGAAATCCATCGTTTTCGTGTTCCGGCGCCTTTGAAAGTGGCTGCCTCTCTTTTATGCAATCTGGACAGGCTAGTAGAACTCACCTGAACTTTTAAACATGTCAAAAGAGGTCCCAAAAGAGACTCCCTCTTGCATGCTTACCTGGAAAGCCACCCTTGCACAAGGGAATGCCCCAAGAAACCCCTCCAGACCTTGTCGTTGAACCCCATGCTCAACTTTTTTTCGCCGACTTTCGGCGTGACTTTGAGGATGGGGCGCATGCCGATCCCGATCCGTTTTGAGGGCCAGCAAGAGTTCGGAGACAAACCAAGGGCTCATTCAGGCATATTTCAGGGTCCTGTAAACTGAACCAGTTGAGGGAGTTCTCAACATTGCCTTCAAGTCCCCGAGACGGCGACTCCAAAAAAGGACACACCCATCTGCCAAGGGGGGGCCATACCCTCAAGAATGGTTCGGATGGTGGACAAAAATCCCCTAAGAATTCCATATCTGAATCACTATGCGCATGTTTGTCCTATGATCATGTCGTAAATCATTTTAAGAGCACCCCGCTGCCCCTTTCTGATTTTTCGGGCCAATGGGGCCCATGGCAGTCTGCCCTGCAGATCAACATGGAACTCCAGCAACCCGGATACATCATTTGCAGAGGCAGCTCTTTTTTGAACCTCTTCTAGGTCCTCCAGTAGAGAGGTTAGAATAAGGGTACCACTGATTTTTTTCCTGTCGTCCATTTTGGCAGGGGGAACCCTCCCCCCGAAAAGGGAGAGAAGCGCACCGGGGGACCTAGTCTTGGTTCCGGTTTCGCCGGACCGGCCAGGATCGCGGGCGGCGGTCTTTTCCCTCCGCGCGCAGGCCGCACACCGCCGCCGCGGCGGTCAGGAGCCGCGGCCAGTGCGGGCCCAGGCTCCAAGGCGCCAACGCCAGCGCCTGGGGCCAGAACGCCAGTGGCACCAAGGAGCCGGAGATCATGTCTAGTGCCCTGGTTCCAGGCTCGTGGTTTTGGAGGTCGACATCGTTGGATAACATGTCTTTTCCAAGGGTTTGCTTGGTTCTAGGTCAGTGGTTGGGGCTGACATCTTTGGATGTCTTCACCCTCATAGGTTGAAAATAGATGGATTTCCCTGGTGATTGAACCAGCAGGTCAAACAGGAATCGCCCTCTACTTTCAAACCAAATCAACCAAAAAGAACACCTATGTTCTCCGTGCCTCACGCCTCCTCCAGCCCACGGTCGGAACCCGCCAGCCAGCCTCCGCCGAGGGCAGGTCGTCGCCGGCGAGGCGCAGGGACCAAGCCCAAGCGGAGCCCTGCGCGCAACACTTCGCCTTAGAGGCCGAGGCCGGGCGACGGCTAAGGAACCAAAAGCGCATCCCATGCCCCCGGTGCATGTCTCATCCAAAAAAAGGGTTGAAGAAAGAAATGGTCAGCCAAAGGGCCATCGGACAACGCAAACCTCCCGAAGTGCAAAGCGCGCCGTCACGTGCAACCAGGTGCAACCAAGGAATCGCAACTCATTCCTAATGATTATGCTTCCCAGCTAGTCCTTTTGGGGATCCTTCCTTTTGATGGAAATGTGCTTTTGGGTGAAGAGAAGTTGGCTGCTGTGCCGTATGTTATTCCAAGCCTGTCTGCCTTCTAGTCCGTAGTTGAAAACCTTGGCCTGAAACAAGCCACCGCCACAGAGTTAAAGAACAAATCAAGTCGAATCAAATCAAATAAGCAAACAAGTGAGCAAGCGCACAGGCAGGCAGGCAGGCAGGCAGGCAGGCAGGCAGGCAGGCAGGCAGGCAGGCAGGCAGGCAGGCAGGCAGGCAGGCAGGCAGGCAGGCAGGCAGGCAGGCAGGCAGGCAGGCAGGCAGGCAGGCAGGCAGGCAGGCAGGCAGGCAGGCAGGCAGGCAGGCAGCCGGATGGGCTCGAAAACAAAACACAACCCACCGAGAAAACTCATACCAATACACAAAAAGCAACCAAGAATAAATAAAACTAACAACAAAACATCCTAATTGAATGACAAAAAAAACTCCACCCGTCTCTCCGCCCAGGCGCCAGCGCGTGGGCGCTCACCTCCTCGTCCTCGTCCTCGTGGGGGTGTTGTGCCAGCGCCAGGGCGAGGCGCCAGCGGAGCTCCGCGAACCTGGGCGCCGGGCGGCCCCCGAAGGGCGTGGCCCTCCTGCGAAGTCGGGGGGTTTTGCGCATGTGCCTCGGTTGCTGCAACGACCCCCTGCAAAAAGCGTTTAAACAAAAATTGGGGTCTAGTGGACAACCCCTTGGTTTCAACCAACAAGTGAAAGTCTGAAGATCCAACCCAATAGCAGTCAAGGTATTAGCGCTGGAATTATCCCAAAAAAGTTATCCATGTAGCAGTGACCATCAAATGAACCTCTCACTGCCCTTGGTATCTTCAATCCTCCGCCTCCCCCCCCCCCCCCCCCCGGCCCCCCCAGCCCCCCACCCCACAAGTCTGCCAACCCACCCTCCCCCCCCCCCCCCACGCCTGCAGAGCAGCAAGCTCAGGGTGCTGCGGTCCGCTAACCGCAGTGCCAGTGCCCAGCGCGTCCTTCCTGCACGATATCAGATTATCCCGCCCCGCCTCCCGACAGGTTTTGGGTGGGATCACCAACCGCCTGCCCTGGTTGCTGATTCCCAGAGCCCTCTTTTGTCTGGCCAACATCCACGCCAGGCGCCAGTTCAGTTCAGGGACCAGGAAAGCCACTATCCACCAAAAGGGTCTTGCACACGGATACGGAACAAATCAATTTAAGTGCCCATGTGAGAACCTTCCAGGCCCAACCCAAGAACCCCAATGGATTGCTGAACTCCCAAAGTGTCCATTTGGGATTCAGCAGGGCTCCTGAAGGATGCATCAAAAAGCCAGCTGCTTTGCGAGGGAATCCTCTGAATCAGCTGATAAAGGTGACTTTCCAGCTGTCTCAAGTGCATCCAGCATTACGGGAGCTTGTTTGGGTTTGTCTCAAAATAAGCCAACCCCCCCTCCCTTTGGTTTCCTAGTCAACCCCAAAACGGGTGGCCCTCAAAAAAGGACACATACCTGGGTGTGTCAATTTGCGGGACCTCTTCTTGCGGTGTTGTTTTCAAGGGAAACAATCACTTTCTCCCTAGTTGGTGGTTTGGATTGGTGTTGGGGAATTGAAGCCCTGGCTTTGTAGGGGTAAATGGGAGACCACCCCAAACCCCCAAACCACCAATCCAAACCACCAATTCGAGAAAAGCCGAAACAACACAAGAGGGGCGGGGAAAAACACACACTCATTTCGCGTGGTCCCAGATCCGATTGTGAGACAGAAAACCCACCTTTTGAGCCAAAAGGGTGCGAAAACCATGCCCCATCCTCTGCCCTTCTCGTCGAAGGCGGCGCTCAGGGCGTTCCAAGCCGTCTCGCCGGGCTGCCTCGGGGCCCGTCTCTTGGGCGGCGGCTTCGAATGTTCAGCTGGCCCCAAAAGAGGAGAGGCCAAACGGATTGCTCGGATGAGCACTAGTGATTTTGATTCTGAGTCTGTTTCTAGGGAGCTATCACAGTCATAAACTAGAGCGATTTCCCTTTCACCCATAACTGAACGGGGGTGATGGTCCGCCGGATTTCTGCGTGAGCAGTCAGCATACCATGACAGAATTCCACGTTGGATTTACATGGTTTCACGCCGCAGGAAAGGGTGAGGATATTGAATGCTGGGAAATTGAATGCACACGACACATGAACCATTTTGTCCCACAGGATTCCAGGACTAGCGCTGGTGACACTTCCAGGTTACCCTACAAGCTCTTGCAGGGCCCAAGCTGATCCATCCTGCGAGCCAGTGGGCAAGAGTCTTGTGTGGCTGGTCTGCTTGTCCATCTAACATGTGGCTCCTGTCCAGTCCACCTACTAAATTGATCAACCTTGCGTTTACTCCTCCAACATGTGTTCATATGTAGTTTATAGTTGCATGTTGCGTCCGTTTCTTCTTCTTTGCAACTATCGACTGCTGTCCGTGCATATTAGCACCCCATGTCACTTCATAATTCTGCTGAAATGTATGCAACCTGTCCAACTGTACGCGCAGTACATAGTGCTTGCTTGCTCAGCTATTCATTCCTTCTTCTATAGTTTCATCTTTTTGGCATGTTGCAATCAATGCAACTTGGACCTCCAGCCGCCAAAAGTCACACCTCCACATTTCACTCTGAAACTCAGAGGCTCTAGTCCTTAGCCTCGTTAGGGAAAGCTGCTCCCTTTCAGGGCAGATTTCATAGGGAGGCATGTCTTCTTTTACTGCCTGAGCAAGGTGCTTGCAGTAGTGTGGCGGATTATGTTAGTATGGAATTGGCGTTGTGAATGTGGGTTGCATGTGGACATCTGCACACATATCTGCAAACATCTGCAACAAATGTAAAGTAAGGCAAGAGTTCTCAAAGCCACGTGTCTTACTTCGCTAGCTCTGAACTTTTGGCTTAACTTGTTGCTTCACTTCTGGCTTGGAGAAATATCTCTAAGTTCGAATTATTTGAGATTGAAACCATCCTAAAACCATCCAAGGAGTTTATGGTCAATCAATGTCAATCACAGAAATCTAATTGGCAAAACAACAGTGCCTCGCTGCCACTTTGGCCCTTCACGAGGTCTATGTGGCGAATTGAGCTGCAGCCGTGATCTTTTGCAAACAGGTTAGAGTCACAGAGTCAAAATGAGGTTGCTTTCTAAGATCTCTCAAGCTCACCTGCAATTCAGGTTGCAAACCGCCATGAGAAGTGGATTCCATCCCAATGGACCTGACGAATTCGCCCAAACTGCCAGTTCCTGGCACCCCTCGACGAGGCTTTGGGCCCCCAGCACGCCCCGGACTCCGATCTCCGCCGCCCAGGCCAGCGCAAGGCTCCACAGCTTGCAGTTGGCCAAGGCGTGCACACCGGCGCTGAAGCTAACTCCTGAAACACGGGCCCTCCGCCCTCCGCCGTCGCCGGGCTGGGGAAGTGAACCACTGTTGCACCCGTTTTTTTGTTTTTTTTAAATGAAGCATGTAAGAAGTCTGTGCGTTGAAAGAATGTCAGGCGAACATCAAAACATGATGAAACTTACGCGTCTTTTCAAACAAACAAAATTGACATATACATGAGACAGCATTTCATGTAATATGCTTAGCAACTGGGTTAATCTTTCTCCAGCCCTAAAACAGCATGTTTTGGAGAATGTTCACTAGAATCACCAACTGCAAATACATTTGCCCAATGTTCCTCTGATTATTCTATTGTTTCTGAAATCTACTTGCATATGTGAGATTTGTCTCTGGGACGGGTAGCAATCCAAGGGCGTGGTGGACACCCATATTGCAACAACCAGAACCCTGGCAGATAAACATACAATGACTGGTTTGAATGGAGATTTATGTCCACCAACCACTTTTTTATGTGGTTCCCCATCAAAACTCACAGCCAGTAGGTCACAGCGGTGGAAAATAATGTCCAGGAACTCCGGGAGTGAGTTGATTTTGAAGGGAAGCCCCTTCTCAACATAACAGCCAACAGGTCCGGGAAGCGCAAAAAAGTCCGGGAAAGTGCCAAGTCCAGCAGGGGAGTATCAAGTCTAGGGCGGCGGGTGTGGAATGCCTCTTCTGCGATACCAAAGTATTAACTACCTCCATGACTGCTTTCTCGCTTCCCTTTCAAGAACTGGCCAACCATGCCCACCAGTTTGTGTTGCTCAGGGAAACCCTCTCCAAACTGGGTCCTCCAGCTGGATGCTCGGGGAAGTACCGCCAAGATGGGCCATGTTTTCTCTTGGCCCTTTGTAACGTCCAACAAAAAATAGGTACCCTCCAAACAAGACAATATACCGAAGCAACTACACCAGCCACAAGACCATCGAAAACTCACAGCCCTCTCCTCCCAGCTGCACCCCTTCACCGGACAGTTGCTGCAGCAACCGAAGCGGGCGCTGCCAGAGCGCCGCCTGCTGAACTAGGAACCAAACTGGCATTCAACAGGGCTCCCTGTATTTCCCGTACATCACACCCCCAAACAAAAGGTCCTTTTAAGGTCCTTGTAAATTTGCCCAAACGGCGATGTCTAAAACCACCAAAGGTGGGAATACCAGGAGTCAACTCAAAAAGGTTGGTGTCTCTCCTTAAAGATGTGAGGACTCTTCTTGGATCGAATTTTCTGCACAAACTGTCGCACCCCCACGGAACCCCGCGAGAATTTGAGAGGGCCGGGATTGCTCTCGGGCACGTCTTGAAGGATACTTGGAACCAACAATTACCACAAACCCAGCCCTCTTTTGTCACTTGTTCAAAGAACCAACATTTGTATGTGTGTGTGTTGTTGTTTTCTGTTGTTTTTAAACGGGACCCTCAGAATAACGGTGTTCCTTTTGGTTTCCGTTTTGACCTCCCCCCACAGAAAAAGGGTTCCAACTCAAAAAAAGACGAGCCGCCCGCATGAAGCCACATGATCCTGCCCACCTTGGCACAAGCGCTGGCGGCGGAGTTGCCGCCCACGGCACCCAGGCGAAGGCCGCGGCATCCCATGGTTTCCAGGGCCTGTGGCTCCATGAATAAACCCCCTCGTTTTTGCTTGGTTTTGTTTGCTTGTTCTTCCCACTCTCTTTTTTTTTTTGGGGGGGGGGGGGGCTGCGCTTCCCTGGCTTTAATGGGGGATTATTCAGACCACTTAGGGGGGGGGGGATACATTTCCATATATGAGACACCACAGGGGTTTATTCATCCGGGGGTCAACATTACCCCCAACTCATAATCTCTAGAAAACGGTTCTAGAGTACGGAAAAAAGAACCCACAGGGGCAAGAACAGGGGAATGAGCGCATCCACACTGTTTCCCAGATGGTCGGGAGTCCTGTGCTTTGGCGGGTGAGGGCAGTTTCAAATCAGTACCCTCTACAAGGGGTTCAAATCACGCACAGAAAAAGCAAAAAAACGAAAACCTTCACCATGGCATGAAACCATATAACAAGCCAACCACACCATAAACCAGGGTGCAAAGACTGGTTTTGGAGGGGAGCAGAACCCCCCCCTCCCTCTGCCCCCCCGTCTCTCTCCTCCAGCGCCGCTTGCCAGCGCCCCGCGGCGCCACAGGCGCTGGCCGCCCCGTGCCAACACGCCGACGACTCCGACGACGCCGATCCGCCGGCCAAAGCCAAGGCCCACTGCCAGGCACTGCCTCCGGCGATGGCGACCGCGTGCGTCGCCGCTGGCTCAGTCGGACCAAGATTTGTTCAAGCGCTTTGGGGTGGCTGGAAACCAACACGAAAGTTCTCAGTTTTCAAGCGCAAATACTCCAACGCAAAAAAAATGTGGGGTGCGCCGCAAAGGGGATTCCCGCAACGAGGCATCTTTTGGGGGCACTCGCCCAACTCTCGCCAGATCCTCGCCTCGAGCGCACGCTCCCACGAGCGACGCCACCACCTCGCTGGCCGTCGCCGCGGCTTCTTGCGGCGAGCGCCGCGAGAGGCGCAGCGCGGCTTGCCAGCGGCTCGCGCGCCCCAGGCAGGAGAAGAGGGTCATGTACGTGACCTCGGCGTTCGGCGTGGTTGGAGCTTCTAGGAGGGAAAAATAGGTCGCTCAAGGACGACATTTGTGGCCCAACCCCGGGGGGAAAAGGGTGCCAAGAAAGCCGCCTGTGAGGTTTGGGTTGGATTAACCTCTGGGAAAAGGGGTTCTAACATAATTGCCTCAAATATGCTCTTTCCAACAATTGTGGAAGTGGACTGGAGGGTTCAGGACTGGAACTCTCATGAAAATGCCACTTTCCCACTTCCATGATTGAAGGGTACTGTTCGGGGCCTGAACAACCAGAATAGGGTTGTGGGGAACTTCCTGCAACACCCATGTGAGGCATGATCAAGAGTTACAATCACATATCACCCCCAGAAAAGGAAACCTTAAACGGGCCAAACATGTGCTCAGATCAAAGCAAATATGGAAACCACCCAAACATATAGGGGAACCAGCAACCACCAACCAAAGTGCGCAACAAAAAACAAACGGCATATCCCAAAAAAAAAGAAACCTCCGGCCCCTCATCACCCGAAAACCGAAACCCTCACCGAGAACTCGGCCGGGTCGGGCGCCAGCCGCATCTGCGGCATGTTTTGGAAGAGCTCCAGCGCCCACTGCGCGCTGGAAGCAGATCGCTCTTCCCAAAAGGAAAGGCTCCCAACAAAAAAAGCTGGCTTGCTTCTAGGGGTTGATTCCTTTTCCCATTCTTTGGGTAACCATCGTTCTTTCCCAAAACCAAGCCGGATCCGTTTCTCCTGGGTTTCCGGAGGTTTTCTAGAAACAAGGATCCCTGGAAGAAATGGGGAAGGTACCCCTACAAAGGTTGGCTTGTTGCAAAAGGGGGGGGCGCCAAAGGATTCTTTCCACAGGCTCCGCGAAAGTGTCCTTTCCACAAAACGGGTGCGGTTGAGCACGACATCTTCCAGACTCCCCGACCCAAGTTGCGAATCTTTCTTCCCCTTTGATTCTTGTGTTGGGAGGAACCACCGTTTAGACCTACAAGACCAAAACAGCTGAACGGGGACCCCATTCTTAGCGCAAAGGGATGTCTTCGGCCGTAATGAGCGCAGGCGGTGGGTGCCAGAGGGCCTGAACCGTATCGAATTGTCCATCCTTTCAGGTTTAGCTCATGAGGGCAACCAGCTAAAAAAGACATGGATACCACGGGTTGTGAGTTGTGAGTTGTGAGAAACGTCCCCAACCATGTGTCAAAGGTCTTTCCAAATTGAGCCCTGTGAATTGCGAAGTGAAGCTCAATGGGTTGGAAGCCCCTTTCGGCGACCGGAACCCCAGAGCCAAGCATCCTGAAGCCCCACACATGGCAGCGCCAAACTTCAAACATCTCGAGGCCTTGCTTTGGACGAATGTGGCTGGGGACCAAAACCGGGACCAGAAAACCAAGCCGACGGGGAACCAACACCAATAGGCAACAAAATCTGATTGGATCTAGACTGAGGGCAGCACCAGTCAAGGACCTTCATAATTAGGTTTTTCGCCAACTCCCCCTTCCCAACCCCGTCGAACCCCCCACCCCCCCCCGCCCGAAGCCCCGTCAACGCCCGCCGAATCGCCTGCCAGGATCCCTCCCCAACAGCCCCGAGCGCGGCGTTGAGGAACACCACGTCCACCCGCTGCGCCGACGTCCACTGCGCGTCCACCGCTCCCAGGGCGCGCTGCCACTCCGCCGCCTCAACGAGAGGCGCCGGGCGGTGTGCGCGGGAGTTGGGACGCCCGGGGCGGTTTGCGCGGACTTGGCACCCCCCAAAGTTGCCGTCTGCCACCTAGCCGTACTGAGGGCTACTTTTGGGGGGCCCACCACTTTTCAACGTATGGGTGCTTCTCAAAATATCTACCATGCTCGTTCGGTTCGTTTCCGTATCAAAGCGAAATTTGCCACAAACAAACGATATTGAGCCACAAATCTACATTGATATACACATACATACATATTTTTCAGGCATTGAGGTTCTTTCTATAGAATGATACTGAGGTTCTTTCTCTATACAGATATATACATATGATTCATACACAGACCTGCACATATCTACC